ATTGCTATGGATCGACACATTTTTATAAAGTATCGACACCTTTTAGGCGTTATAACTTCTTCTCTTTTAAATTACAAAAGTGTCAACAATTATATTAATTTATTGATACTTTCAATATATCCGGTAGCGCTTTACCGGTTTTATCATAATGACACCGGTTTTATCATATTTTTACTTGTCATATTGCTATGGATCGATATATTTTTAATTTGTATCGACACAAACCGACAAGCTAAGTTTGTCGGTTGCCAAATTTTTTAATATTTTCTTCATGATTTCCACCTACAACATTGTTATTACTCGATATTTCAGGTAGCGCTAAACCGAATTTATTAAATATATTATAATGTATCCGATAACACCGTATATTAACCGTATATTAACCCACCTTTCCCGAGATAATCCCATTGATATGCTTGTCTTTCCGTGGAATAATAAAAAACCCGCTTCTATTTTTTTATTTAAAAAATGGAATATTTTATCACTATGTAGGTTAAGGCAATTAAAAGGTTTGTTGGGGAATTATTGCATCCATTGTTGAATATGTGTAACTTATAACAATTGCTAATATCATGTCAAATGTCAATCCGTGTCTCTCTTTAGATGGGGTAATAAATTCCTCAAAACAGACAAGGCTTAGTTATTTGTTTTGACCTACATAGAAAAGGGATAAAACGATTCTTGCAAGTAAAACCCCAATGCAAGAATTTGTCCTGAACATGGTTTCAAATAATATATCAGCATAATATGATATTAACTTCTGAAATTCTAGATAGTTTTAGAACATTTTCCATCATCACCTGACATGTTTCTGTCCAAATTGTTTCCAAGAATATATACTTTGATATTAGAAAGTGGAGGAACATGTTAGAAGTTTCGAATATGTATTATGTGTGTACTAAATGAAATTATTTCTTTAATATTATATTAATATATAGAGAGAGAAGCACGTATATATATAAAATGCATATGAGATAGAGAATGGACCATTGATGCCCACTTATAAAAGAATCTCCGTCTATTTGCATGCCAGAAAGCTAAGATTTACCCCTCCACAGACATCTGGGCTACAACTTTTGGATGAAAGTGAAATTAATGAAGGTGGAGAATAAGCTCGTCTTTTCATTCATTAACCTACTCCATATCTACTTGTGTATACAAATATCATCACATAATAAAATATTCATTGATTTGGCGCTCTTGTAAAAACAAATTCCAGTCTGAGACACTTTCTGCTACCTAATTTATGTATTTATATTTCAATACATTAATTAAGGAAAGTATTAATGTGAAGAAGGGGGAAAGTAGGGTGGGTGATAGGATTCCTCACGGGAGGCTAACCATTTCCACATTTATTGGCTGCCCTTCAAAGTCACTTCCCTTCTTTGAAACATATGTCCCCACTGCCCACATGTGGGATTTTATTCATCATCATAGTAGGCGCCATTATGGTCTACTGTTATCAACTTTCTCACACTTTATTAATAATGTGTTACTATTACGATTTTATTATTTATGATCAATATTATATCTACCTATTAAGGGTTTGAATTTTAGCATTTACAAATGAAATAAATTGGATTAGGAATATCGCCCCTATAATAAGATTCTATAAAATTCAATATGTATTAGTCAGTCAATAAATCGGACATCAATGATTAATTCAAAAAACATTATATGTAGTTATATTTTTAAAGAAAGACAATATTATTAAAATATATAATTGTAAATTTTAAATAGATATCATAAAATAGAGATGAAAGTTTTTAATTTCATTTAGAGAAAAAATCATAAGTAATTATTTTTATAAGAGATAATATTTTAAAATTTAAAAGTTTTTTTTTATAAAAAAAGTTAAAAGTTAGAAATACTACTAAGAGACAATTAAACATAAATCATAATATAAAAGTAAAACTTTATAATTTTTACCATTTATGTGTTTTTTTTCTTAAAAGAAAATGTTGTTTTCAATAGGCAATATTTATAAACTTTATTATGTTGCATTATGTTAATTATTTATTTTAATCGATTGCGTATTAACTCAATTGATATTATTATTATTATCGTAACATTTTAAAATTATAAGTTTATTATTATTACCTTAATGGTTAAGAGATTTATTGTTATTTTTTATGGTCTCTAGTTCAAGTACCACGGATGCAAAACCTTCATTGTTAAAGGGTTGAAAGTCTTTGAATAAATACTACCTTATATTTACCCTATAATTATAAAAAAAAAGTTATGGATAATTTTTATAGAAGATTATAGATAATTTAAATATTATAATTTTATATTAAAAAAGTAAAAGAAATAAACAAAATCAGTAATACATATATTAATTAAACCCTAAACCTATAAACTAAAATATATCTAGATAACTTACCATATTACATCAAAATCAAATTAACACTTACCATAATATATATATATATATATATATATATATAACAGTTATTCATGAACAAGGAGGGCCAGTTGTTGATTCTTGTCTAGAAAGTTATGGGAACAATTCATATTTTCTCCCAAATTAATTGTCGTGTTTAACTAGTGAATCCCTTTAAATTTCGAGATGTTTGAACACAGAGTGGTAGCTTTTGGTGATGAGTTATTTATGAGTAAGATGCAGGCGATTGGGTCATCATCTGAGAAATTGATTGCCTTTGGCCTAGTATTTTTCCTTAAACCTTACAAAGACGCCAACAATTTAAGATGCACCCTGAAACCCAGTCATTCACACTGTTCTAAAAGTTGAACTGCCATGGAAAATAGTTACCCAAGTTCTTCCAAATCTTTGCTGCAGTAAAATATGTTCTTCTTTTGGCTGCTTTTATCATTGTACTACTACTATAGCCCTATACTGCATTTTCACTTTTGTGAAAAAGAAGGGTCGGAATGGACACTATCTGACCTGACCACCTTTACAAATAAATTACCAAATAAATTGGGTTTTATGGGACTATTACTCTATTCATCATATCTGTTTTCCTTTTTTGTTCAATTTTTTTTAATAGAGAATGAGCTTAATCAATTACATTAAGAGTGCGTTGAGTTCGGAATGTAAGATTATCAGTGAGAATGTAAGATTATCAGGGAGTAGGATTACTGAGAATATTGTATTTTGTGTTTGGTTGGTTTAGCAGGAATGTAAGATTATCGTGTTTGGTTAAAGGAATAAAAGATTATTGGAATGTATATTTGACCAAATTATCCTTATTATATTTTTTTAACAAGCTAAAAAATATTTATATATTTTCTTTAAAAAATTTATATATATTTTTTTACAAAATTGAAAATATAAAAAGGTTTAATGAAAGAGTAAAATTTTATTTTAACACCTGAAATTCATATAAAATTTTAATTATAGATTTTTTTTTGTAAATCTAAAATAGTTTAAGGATAAATTTATAATTTAACATTCGTAGAATTTTTATTATTTAATGACACAAGAATGATATTTTTGAAAAAAAAAAATTAAGGACATTTTAGTTCAAAACGTCGGTAATCCAACAATACCTAAGGAAAGAGAGGTAATGACATTTCCGGTAATATATCCCAAAAACTCTACTATTGGTAATAAAATATTACCGGAAATGAGATTCCCGGCCAATCAAACATGGGAATGTGAATTCTGTTCCAATGAAAATCCCACATTCCTTGAACCAAACAGCCCCTGGGGGACGAGGATATAAACACTTGATGCATTATTGATGTTCTCATTGTACAGTAAAACATATGTCCATTAATTTTAATATATATATACGATTATTCAAATAAATTAAATAAACGTATGGTTTGATGATAAAAAAAAACTAAAGATGACAGTTTTAAAACTGAGGCCTATGGCGGTGCTAAAAAATTAATAGAATTTCAAGACCATAAACACCCATTTAATTCAAATAAAAAAACACCAAACAACAGGCTGAGACTCTCATTTCAACCACTATATGTTTGCTATTAAAAACCCAAAACATTCAAACATTGATCCCACAAATGTTATTTAGGACAACAAAGTGCATAAAAATGTTCATAAAAATTATTAAAATAAACAGTAAAGTACATAAAAGGTCCGACTATAGGATATTACTTTATTAGGTCATTCGATTATTAAAGTTATAAAATGATCCTCCGATTATATAGTGTTGCTTTGTCAATTTCCTCGACTATTAAAAGTTACAAAATCATCACCAACTATTTATATATTCCAAATTCGCCAATTTTTATTATAAAAAAAAAACTAACAGTGTTCTAAGCTACACGTTAATATGATGACTGAGATATGATAGTCGTTTAGGACCATTTGTGCACTTTACCCGAAAATGAATAAGATTCCAAGATCAATATATTTTAAATTAATAAATATGAAATTTAATTCTGAAATATATTATATAGTTGGGAGAATTTAAATTCTAAATATAATTGTATACTTAGAATTTAGTTTTCGTACATCAAATATTTTATTTATTATAAAATTCATACAAAGTGGAATGTAAGATGATCTCCGACGAGATTCGTACAAAATTTATGAAAAACCACGAGAAATTCATTAACAATTTTGCAAAGGTTAAAAAGCAGGGATGAAGACAAGAACCTGATATCTAGAAAAACCACCTAAAGGAAATATGTAAACCAAGGAAACATCGGCAATACCACTAAATATTAATTTACGTATTATTATTAGTGATAATTATTTTAGTAGCTCTAATGAATAGAATATCATAGTGGCTAACAAAGAGACCATGTAATTTCTTCTCCACTCATCTTCGCTCTAAGTCAAACACCACCAGTTTTTTTCATTTGTGAAAAATAAACTACCAGTATGAATGAAATGAAAATGAATGTCAGAGATGATGACATTAGCACTGTCATAATTGTAATTATATATTTTATTAAAAAATTAATTGTTAATTTTTTTTTGGGTGAAAGAAGGAGAAAGACAAACAAAGAATCAGGGAGGAATTAAAAGAAGAAAAAGGGGAACAAATTAAAGCACCTTCATGGGGGCCCATAACATGTCCCCTCAGTTAGACCCAAAGATGTGATTTTCATCTTTCTCTCCACTGCACTATCCCTATTCTTCTACTTTTTCCTTTTATTTTTTAACGATCATTTCTTGCCAAAAATACCCACGAATTCCTCTGGAACCAAGATCAATCTCACTCATCATGTCAGGTGATATAGCCACGGATTCTGCTGAAACCTCCGCACGATCCTCCGGTAACCACCACAATCAACCTCAGCCGACGCCTCCGCTGAGCCGATACGAGTCACAGAAACGGCGAGACTGGAACACTTTCGGGCAGTACTTGAAGAACCAAAGGCCACCGATTGCACTATCACAGTGTAACAGCAACCATGTTCTTGATTTCCTCAGATATCTGGATCAGTTCGGGAAGACTAAGGTCCACCTACGCGGTTGCGTCTTTTTCGGACAACCTGACCCGCCCGCTCCTTGTACTTGTCCACTAAGGCAGGCCTGGGGGAGCCTTGACGCACTGATCGGACGCCTAAGAGCTGCTTATGAAGAGCATGGCGGGTCTCCGGAGACTAACCCTTTTGGAAACGGAGCAATCCGAGTTTATTTGCGTGAAGTGAGAGACTGTCAAGCGAAGGCCAGAGGGATTCCTTATAGGAAGAAAAAGAAGAAGAAGACTCAAATTCAACCCAACGTCGACGAGCCTATGCCATCTTCCAAGCGGCAGCCCTCCTCGCTAGCTGCCTAGGATCTTTGGATTCTTCATAAATGGTATTTCCTTTGACTTCGATACATAATATATATACACACACACATCATTAGCTTTTCATTTAAAATTCGTTTCTGTTTCTCTTTTTCACTAAAAAAAATCTAGTCAAGTCCATCTAGCTAGCCGCAGAAGAAAAAGTAACTAAAAAGAAACATATAGATTTCGGCATACATAAATTTTCAAGAATAAGAAAACTAGATTGCTTGAATATCTGGAGCTGGTTAGTTTATTAGAAGCCACTAATACTATAGTCTACCACAGAACCGAAAAGAACATAGTATTCCAAGTATGGAATCGTCTTTCGATGGTAGAAAAAACCCTAAATCCTTTACCTCCGAAACCCTAATTTTAACACTCAGGCCTTGCAGTGTTGCACAAGTATGTTAAGTGATTTTTACCCATGGATCACTTCTTACTATTGCGTGCCATTGAATGGATGAGAAAGATTACCTCTACCCCCCTATAATTTTTTTCTTTATTTGTCCCCGTATCATGCACAAAAAAATAAAAATAGAAAAATATTTCGCATTTCTTTACTTTTCCCTTGTTTTTTGGGTACTTTTCTGATTCTGTTCGATTTTGTGCTCCCCGTTAAATGAATGTCCATGTTGATATTATATACATATATATTATAGTGATTTCTGATATAGAACACATGGTCCAAAATTAATTAGTTTAAATTTTAGTATATGAGTGGAGGGATGGAACCAATTTATATACACACTAGATTTTCTCTAATGGTATGTAAACAGCTTAAAATAATTTATTTAACCGTCATCCTCTTCTTTGATTGCATCTTTATAAACTAATGATAATATAATACGCATATCAAAAGATTGCGGCAGCAAGGCATTGCCATTACGTAGGGAAATGCTCATGTGCGACATCTTAATATACGGTTAAAATAAAGCATTATCGGTTTTGTTATTATTTTAAATAACAAAACCTGTAAAAATGACCAAATATATTATTATTTATAACGGTTATAATTATCGATATAGGTAAACGCGGTAGGAAAAATCCATCAAAAAAATAATGTTTTAGATAGTGCTTTATCGAAAATATTATTTTTATAACAAAACCAGTAGAAATAATAATGTTTTCGGTCATTTTTTACCGGTTTTATTATTTAAAATAATAACAAAACCGATAACATATTTTTTTAGCCGTATATTAAGCTGCGGCACCGTTGAACTTCCCCCATTACGTAATGTATAGACTTTTTTAATTTCAAGAATTTTTATCTCGTATAATCTATACTTGTCTTATATATGCTTGACTTGGTGTGTAAGTAGATTGTGTTTTATTAGAGAATGCATTTTTCATCAACATATATAATTTAGTGGGGCCTAACATTAATAATTTTAACTATTAAAATTGATTATATATATATATATATAGTTATACGCCTCTTAGCTTTTTTCTGTCCAGATTGTGCTATGGTGGTTCCGAAAACCTCGTAACACCCTTGGATTTCGATCTTAACAGGTTTTGGGATGGGAATATTTTAAATTATTAAGCAGGAAAAGGAAAAGGAAAAGGATAGTAGTGTTGTTGATTTGTGTAAGAAGAAATTAAATGCCCGTGAAATCCAAGTAGCTTGACCTCTGGAAACAAGTAGAGTTGAGAGCGTAAGTAGACATGTGCATCTACAGCCAAGAGCTCTAAACACTAAAAAGCTAGCTGCCATTACTGACTCTGGGTTCGACTGAATCCAATAAGGAATATCAGAGAGAATAATATTACTACCGCTGCTTTCTTTTCCCTGCTCTTTCTGTCTTTTCTTTGCTCTAATTAGTACGGAGACTAATATGATACAACAACTTTCTTCCTAGAAAGACCAGATTTAAGAATTTTACACCCAGGTTTTCTATCATTAAAGCATAGCTGCATATACGTACCATTTAACGAGCAGAAAAATATAACATATATAGCAAACCAGAGTCTCTAGGAATGTGAGGAACCTAACAAATATCTGGTTGGTTTGAGAGATTTTTCATGCGTTTGTATTCTTAGATTTTTGGATCATTTTAGCAGCTTATATGAACAAGTATTTGTTAAGTTGGAATGTTTCAGACGGATCATATGCTGAATCAGAATCAATATTTGTCATGGAAGTTTATCAATATTTCTCTCTCAGGAGTCGGAGTTTATAAAGCTAGCTAGAGTCGGGATACCTTCTTAGTGCTTGAGGAATATGATATTTAGTTAATACATTCAAGGTATAAAAAGATTACACGTTTATTTATATATTTATTTCAAAAACTCTTGAATGAAATAATATTGTCTTTCATTAACAATACATAGATTTAAATACTAATAACCTAAAGTATAAACTTCATAAAAATAAAATAAAAGAAAACAGATGAAATGCATACATATATATATATATATCTCACAACTAAAACTGATTTTATTTTCTTTATTACATTTGGCACAAAAATGAAAGGATAAACAATTGAGATTAATAATATTGTCAGCAACATTGTTAATATAAAACAGGAAATTATGGAAAGAAATTAAAACACCAAGGAAATTTTCACTTCCTCGTCAGCGGCTGAACTGGGATGAAGCTATGGGTCAAGTTAATTAATTTAAAAATTAATAATTTCTTAAAAGTAAATAAACGAAAAAATTGTGGGACTATAGGTTAATTTTATCAATTTAAGAATGTACATATTCTGAAAGGAAGTTTTCACTTGCCCTTGTAGCGGCTAAACTAGGACATTGATTTAAAATTTAACAGGAACCTAATAAATAAATAAAATCGTGGGATTATAAGTTAATTTTATTAATTTCAAAATATACATGTTCTAAAAGTAATTAAATAAAAAAAAGTAAGAACTAAAGTTTAATTTCATCAATTTTAAAACTTTAGATATTAGGGAGGGGAAGGAGAATTTTGCTCTTAATGGGAATTGAATCCGTAACATAAGAGAGAGAAGATGTTAACTAAGAGTTTTTAACCACTTGCTTTATAGGTTGTTAACATAAATTTTAAATATAAGTCATTTTAACATGAAAAATCACAAATATAACTCAAAGTTTAAAAATATATGCAATTCTAGTTAGTATTGTATAATATCATTTTGTTTATTAATCATATAAATATTTATATACCAACAAGTAATGTATCAAATATAAATCAATCCATAGAAGAGAAATTGAAAGACAGGTAAAGGATAACTTTATAATTAAAATATTCATTTTAAATTAATTAATTAGTTTTTGATTTTGCACTAAATACATATAAGGTGATACAGTAATAATCCAATTAACCAAGCCTGGTAGACTTTGTGAAGAGTCTATAATCAGAAATTGTCTTCTTTTTTTTATATATATATTTATAGATCCTTGATACTCTCATATATTTCCTAGATTGCATTTCATTGTTCTTAATGACTTAAGATTTGTGGAGACACATGCATATAGTCACGTAATTTTTTTACTATGCTAACGCGATATAATTCGAGAAGTCAGACCATGTTATGATAGATATATTTTTTAATCTTTTTCTAAAAAATAAATATAATTAAATAATTATATATATAATTATTAGTATTTGATTTATTATCCGATTAATTTAAATTAAGTACTACAAAGACATATTATAAAACCAATCCTTTGAAACTAGTTTATTGAGTTTAACCCTATGATTTGAATTTTAGATGTTCTTTGTTTTATCAAATATTGAACAAAATATAAAGATATACATTATTTTCTTTGATTATGCCGAACAAGATTTTTTTTTTATATCTATATAAAGTGAGGGATTCACTTACATTTTAATGTAAGAGAAAATTTATCTTTTTTGATTATCGATCAATAACATTTTAAATCTTACAGTAAAATATATAAATAGTTCATTTACTATTGGGTGTTGCTTTGTTGAGTCATTCGATTATTAAAAGTTACATAATGGTCACTCGACTATTCATATGTTTCAAATCTGTCATTTTCCGTTTAAAAAATGACGGTCGTCTGAGTTGAACGTTAACTTACTGGTTGAGATATGATAAAATCATATTTTAATGATATCTACTGGTGCCACCATTGCTTTCAAGCATTGGCTTGATGTCATAATTTTTCAAGCACTATCTCGACGATATAATATAAACAAAGAATCGATCCATATAAAATACAGTTCAAACGGTTATGGGGTCAGATTTGATCATATCTCAGTCCACAGGTTATCGTCTAGCTCAGACGGTCGTCAATTTTTTAACAGAAAATGACAAGTTTGGAATATATGAATAGTCGAGTGACTATTTTATTACTTTTAATAGTTGGGCGACTCAACAAAGTAATCCATATATTCGATGGACCATTATGTAACTTTTAATAGTTGAGAGACTCAACAAAATAATGTCATATAGTTTGGAGACCATTTGTGTACTTTACCCTAAATCATAATCGTAGTTGTATATAGTTAATTATATATTGCAGCTAAATTAGATTAATGGACAGTATTATAGCTTCTTCTGTGATTATTTTCTTTCAATTTGCTTTAGTTACTTAATAATAGTTAATTTGAAGAGTAGATGATTTACGTTACATTTTCCCTGGAAATTGGTGTGTCAAGGATCAATATGTTTGGGACGGGGACAATGACAGTAATAGCGTCATCTCTTCTATTAACTTTAATATATTTTATCTGATTCTGGAGTTGCAGAAATAATAATAATAATAATAATAAAGAATTAACTATTGTGGTTTCTGGGTTTGGTTTGGTTGGTGCAGAATGATGGGATGGGCATTCAGACAAGAAGCAAAACAGGCAGGGTGGAGGGAAATGATTTAATGGGAGAAAAATGAGGTTCAATTTAGCACTACTACTATAACTACTGCTACTGCTTTAATTCATGTAATGGTTTTTGCATGAAGTAGTACCTAATATGTTGTTTACACAATACTAATTAGTTAATGTTGTTGTCGTCGTCGTCTTAGTAAACCTTAATATATGTGGGTGGAACGGTTGTTAGGTCTCAGATACTTTGTAAGTTATATAGAATTATTTATTATTCTACAATGACGTGTGATGAACTAGACGTATTAATTAAGGATACAGAAACATTAACTACCTCAAGTTTCTGTGTTTCTTCTTTAAAGCAAAGCAGGATTGGATCAGAAATGGGCTTTCTCTTCGATATTTGCAGTTAGCTTAATTCACGTACATCAACATATCCACTTCCTTTTCATTCCCATCTAATTAACCAAAATAAACTAAAAAAAACAATTGTTTTAAGATCCAGCTATAGCAATAAAGCTGAAGCTGAAGTTTTTATGGACCAAAGCTGAAGTTTTTATGATGAAGAATTGGGCGTCACCACTGGATCCCGAGGATCGCTTGCCACGCTTGATCTTCTGCAACTGCAACCTAGTATCCCATAAACATCCTCATGCTCTGCACTTCCAAATCTTTAGCAAACTGCGATCATGTTTCTTCACACTAATATAATTTTTTTGAAATTGATTCACACTAATATAAATAATAACGACTGAATAGAGCTTTACAAATAGTGAGCTGTGGGCATGTTTGTTCAACCCCACGATAAGCAATTCCGAATTGAGTACTGAATACCGATCTGTCTAGTTGCAAGGGATCAAATCCTTTGACGGATTATATTGTCCCAAATGACCTTTCTGTTGTGATTTTTACTCAGCTTTTTCTTCAACTTCACAAACTATGGTCTATGGGCATTGCCACCCAATCCGTGTTCTACTACTCGGCCCACCGGGACCCACTCCACTTTACAAGCTTCCGTGACGGGATCAACACAGGTAAAAGCAAAACTCTCGTTTCTTGTAAGTTAATCTGTAAGATGGAAAACTAATCCTACGGTTCGAAGCCATATATATAAAGCGATGTCGTTTAGGAAAATGTCGAACAAAACACATGGCTAACGTCTACCGACCGCTAAAACTCGAAAGCGACAATTTTCAATGATGGTCCCACTGCCTTCACTATTAGTTAACCGCCTTCAGATTTCAACTAACTTAGAGATAAAGGATCCAGAGCGTCATCCCCCTTTCACATTTATAACTATATAACTATAACTACAACAATAGTTTTATCTTTTCTTAGAAATTATATTTTAATTTCGATTTTTAATTGTTCGATCTGGTTTTAATGATAATTTCACAACGTTATTCCTTTTTCCCCTCAAATAATTATCCTAAAATATTTTTTATGACGTAAATATTAAGCGGCATGAGTAATGGGTCTCACACTATAATAAACCAATACAGAGAGACAATTAATGTTCAGACAAAAGTTAACCGACATAAGCCGATGAATGGCAAGGTTTCCCAAAACAAAAAATCTCTTAGACTCGGAATTTTTTCTTAATATAGAATCAATAACTGCTATATATATGTGAGTGTAATATGAAGACCTTGAGCTGAAATTGGTGCTTCAAATGCTATATAACCGACCAAGCAATGAACTTCAACTCCATCCCAAAACAGAAGCGATGAGACATCGGTATCACACCCCCAATCTATTATCCAACCAATGTGGTTCGAGCCTGGTTCAAATCATCGATGCACCACTTCCTCTGGTATGGTCCATAATCCGGCGCTTCGACAACCCACAAGCGTACAAGCAATTCGTGAAGAGCTGCAAGTTGAGTGCGGGCAACGGGGGCATCGGGAGTATACGTGAAGTGATGGTGATGTCAGGGTTGCCGGCTGCCTCCAGCACGGAGAGGCTTGACGAACTTGATGATGAGCGTCATGTTATGATGATCAGCATTATCGGAGGTGATCATAAGCTTGTTAATTACCGTTCTACTGCTACGCTGCATGAAATTATTGACGGAGGAAACGGCGGCGGGAAAACGATGGTGGTAGAGTCGTATGTGGTGGACGTCCCGGCGGGGAATAGCAAGGAGGACACCTGCTGTTTTGCTAATATGATAATCGCGTGCAACTTAAGGTCTTTAGCTAGAGTAACAGAAAAAATGGCTAAGTTTTAGGAATTTATCCATGCTAAATTCCTAAAACCTTTTCTTTTGGTTATTTATATTTACTAAAATAGAGAAGAAAGAGTAGAAACAAGTTTTCCCATTCCTGGAACCTTTCAAAAGGTTTTTTTATGGGCAGATATAGTTTTTTTTACACATGTGGAGTGGAGATAGAGTTACCTATTCGAAAGTTGATCTCTGGTGTCAACACAAATCAAATTTATCACTCCAATGGTGGTTATGCAATAAATAAATTGTTACTTTCTTCCTCTCTAATAATTAGTGCTTTCCTTTTATCTTGATATAGATTGATATTATGGTAGCAAATTGAAAGTTTCTAACTTTTCTCTAATCTCGATATCCAAACATAGGGAGCGTAATCAAACACAATCCCAAAACATCGTGATTTGCAAGGAAATATGTGACGGTTTGGAATTAAGACAAGCCCAAAGACAGGTTCCCAAGGGTCCAAAATGCCCCCTATGTGAATTGGGTCCAAAATGTTCCATTTTTGCTTCTGGAACACAATCAATCAAAGACATATGGCATCACATTCGTAACAAAGATGACAAGATTACTTGGCATAAGCTATTTTGGTTTCTTCTTCATGTTCCTAAGTATAGTACTATTACTTGGATGGCTTTCCTTGACAGATTACCAACCAAAGATAGGTTGATTCGAATGGGGCTTAACATTGTCGGTATTTGTCTGCATTGTAATGAGGAGATGGAAACTAGAGACCATTTGTTTCTACATTGTACTGTGGCAAATTCGGTATGGAGCTCTTTTTGAATCTTAATGGCATTTGCAGAGGAACTTGCTCGTGGAGTGCTCACATTTCATGGGCTTGTGCTTCCTGGAAAGGAAAAACATTGATCGCTACTATTATGAAGCTAGCTTGGACTATTTTTACTTACATTATTTGGGAGGAGAGGAACAAGAGAATTTACCAAAGACGTTCAAGAAATGCTAATGCCTTACTCCTTGCTATTAAAGATTCTGTTGCTATTCAACTTAAGGGTAGGAAAATAAATAGAAATGACTATGTCTTTTTTTTTTTTTATAGGAATGATGATTTATTAAAATCAAAGAACATCTTATGAGCCTCATTAAAAACCTCCCTAAACTTATTGGAGGAAAAGAGTGCAACATAAGAGAACAAAACAAGCAAACATACTAAAAGCGAAAGCCAAACCAACAAAGACAACAAAAGCGAACAGAAAAAATTTCAAAAAACAATCCAACCGACCAAACAAAGCGAACACTGCAACCAACTAAAAACACATATCAATTCCAACCGTAGAAGCTTCGTCGACTACGCGAACAGAGACAGCAAAAGCCAGATTCCAATAGCTCCAGAACTGACAGTCATAGAAGATTCTCGAAGAATGATCCTTCCAATGACCTAAGATAGTTGAAATAAAAATACGATTGCCGAATAAACGCCTCTCTATATGGAGCCATGCCCCAGTGTTATCAATAATGCGAAGAACGAAAGTCCCTCAAAATGACCACACCCATTCACATAACAAACCCCAAAAGCACACAGCCACTCCCATGTGCTCCCCACTCACCACCTCCAAGTCATTGGAACATCCACTAGATGAACAGACAAGTGTGCATAGCCACTAATACTGTGTTTGAAGACCATAAACCAAAACCCCAAAAAAGTGTAAAACCTTAGTATAACCCCCACCATGACTCACTGAATGGGGAGAAAAAACCAAAGCCCCTAAATATTATAATAAAAATGCCTATCACGCACATTTGGTTAAAACCCCCAATACTCGAAATAATCACGCACAGTTTACTAAACCCCCATCACGCAGAAAACACCCATCATGCATAATAAAATAAAAAAGGCACACCAGCCAACCCACCTGAAAACCCACAGAAAGCTTTAATTCTCGGACTAAAGTATGACTATTCGCGCACCCACACACATGTGCGCCCTACACACCAACTCCAATGCAGTGGAGCACCACCTGACAACCCACGAGCGACATGCTACCAGCCTCTGAAGCAATGAAACGAGCCACTCGAAAGAGAAAGCAAAGTGACATACACATTTTGGAAAACATAAATCTCCCAAAACCTAAACCCCCACTACCCGTCAAATTAGTTTCACAAAGTAACACTAAAAACCAATTCCAAAACCTCCAAAAATCCACGACAGGGACCTCAACGTTCAAAAACCAAAACGCCTGCCCAATACCTCACTCACTACCCTCAACACATTTCTAACGACACTAGTTCCTCGAGAACCTTCCTTTCAGGACCAGCAAACGTAATACCAAGCATCTTCGCTACTGACAGAGTCTCCTCCGCTTCAACAAATGCAGCACCCCATTTTTTCTTTATGTCTGAATCTGAAATAGATCTACCTGATAATTCACTAAATTCTAAATCAGACTTCTTCAACTTGGAACTCTTCAAAGCACGATCTCTTCGACACCTCTCAGCTTTCAAAAGGACAGAGTCCTGAATATCCAACATAGAACCAAATTTATGCATCTTCTTTTTATTCCTAATGGACAATTCTGGCACACACGACACATCTTCAACAACCCCTCCAACACATTCTTTTCCAGAAATCTTCCATTTGTTTATGTCACCTAATTCCGAAGAGTTAACAGAACCCAGAACTAAACCTTCACTCCTCCCCCCTGAATTCACCAGATCATCTTTAAAAGACTTCAACAAAAATCCAGACTTAAGTCCTATCCTACAAGGAGGCTCAATCTCTGGAGAAACTACATTAGAAGCATTCACCAAAACTCTATCCTCCAACTTAGAAATCTCGCCTATAATAGGACTGACCTCATTTGAATCTACAACCAAGGTCTCCACCCCATCAATATCCAATCCTTGCAACCCCACATGATTGCACTGATCTAAATTTTGAAAGCCATCGTTCTGTCCACCATCATCGACACCACCCTCAACCTCAATCTGTTTCCCAAAACTAACCTCTTTACGGCAACAGAGGCAATCCCCAGAGCACACGACATCCAAAGGGATGCCAACAGAAGGTGACCCTTCCTTACCATCAGAACTTCCCGACTCAGAAGCCACCTTCAGATTATGTATAACCGGAGAACCACCTGCGTTACTAGCCCCAACCACGACCCCATACTTCTCAACCTCGACCTCTACTTTCTTAAGGATTTCGAATTTAGACAAATTTCCTAAGGAATGGTCCACCATCCTAACTTCAAGAACAAGAACATCAAACTTTTTATTCTCGACTACTACATCAACAACTTCATTAATCCGAACTTCTGAAGAAGTAGAAATCAACATATTAACTTTCTCACAATCTAAAAGATGGCTAACATTATCTCCAAACGCCTCAAATCTCCCCCACAAGCCAAATAATCTTTTCAAAGTGACTGCATTCCAGCAATGCAACGGTAGACCCTCTATCTCTAACCAAACAACTCTCTCCTTCTGGTAAAACGACTCCGTCCAAAGCATAACATCCACAAAAATCTCTTTCAAGTAAGACCACTGAAGGTCTTCAAGCATGATAAAAAGATCTTCATCCTCTATGGTGAGCAGAAAAGAGTTCCCACGAAGTCTTTGAACTTTGATTTCCCCTAAACCCCAGTTATGCAGCCTATCAACAATACTCCCAACACTACAAACACCAGCCATAACACCCACCAAACATCTCTTTAACTTTCTTACTTCGTCCTCATCCACATGCCCCTTAACTTCCTTTCTGGTGGACCACGCTAGACTACCCTCCTTCGATTGAGATATACTAGTAGCGAAAGGGTTTGCGATATTACCTTTCCATGACAGCTTACACTGCGCACATTTATCCTTCGGACGCTTCAAAGAATACTTGGCAAAACTCACTGAGATGCGACTACCAAACACCATAAGACCATTCAAACGTTCCTTAACTCTACTAGCTTCTACCATATTCCCAACTTTTACGAAACCAAACCTAGAGCCTGCTCGACTCCTCCTTAACGGAAGATACACACTCAGAACCTCCCCAAAACGACCCACAATCTGCCATAACCCTTTCCAGTGAATAGAGTTTGGTAAGTTGTCCACAAACAAAGAAACAAAATCCGACTGAAAACTTGAACCACCCTCATGGCGTTGCATTGCAACTTGAAATGACTATGTCAATAGTACTCTTTGTATTCAATGGGTATTGAACATTGATATTTTTGTTCTGATGTATAGTGCTGTAAGTATAGATGTTTTTTTGTAAGAACATGTTTTATTTTGAAGCAGATTTCTGCTCTTTTGGATATAAAATTGATTTATCCAAAAAAAATATAGTTGCATGCCTGGTACTATTGGAATTGGGTGAAACATTAACCGAGTCTATAGTTTTGGGTTATTTTTTTAGTATGACTGCCGTAATGTAATTAATAGTATCAATATGTTTCACCCAATTAAACGTCAGAGCACTTGGACGATGGAATGAAATAATCTTTAGCAGAGCAGAACAGCTTATTCCTGTCAAAGTCTTTTAAGTAGAATCTTTAGCTCAAAAGGAAAAAAGAGCGCAGCAGTGTCCAACATTCCTCTCCCTTCTTCACTTCTCTTAATCCTTACTCGTTCCATGAACACTTGCCATCATTTTAGGACACCCCAAAACGTCAAACAACTCATCCATCTCTCCCTCACTTTTACTAGCCACATCTTCTCTTTTTGCATCATATAATCATCTTTTTCCTGTAAAAAAGCACTTGCTTCAATAGATGTTTATGTTGACTAAAGGTTGATAGCTACAGTTAAAGGTAAAAGATTAAAAATTCTTGTTTCGTTTGTCGGTTATGTTCTTTCATCTCCTTTTTGGGGTGGATAATAATCCTAGAAAAGAACTCAGTTTTGGGTTGTGTTTTGAATTGTTGAATAAAGTTGTCGATTATCATTCCACGTTATAATCACCGTGAATACAAAGTTCATGAGGATTCCGGTAATTTGTCAAGAAAAATATGTGGGTTGTTGCCTATATTATGCTTCATGAACTCTGTGTGCCTCTTTATTCCTGTGCCTAGATTAAAATTTAGGACTCGCTCTTCGATTTCGTCTACTGGTGAGGTTGGGAAAACAGGGAAAAGCTACCTCCATCAAGTCTCACTGCCATATTGTTGAGAATGTAAGTGTAGATTGTAGAACACTCCTATTTTCTTTCAAAGTGTTCAAGATTCTAATTCATTGCTATGTATTTACTATTTTTGTATCTGTACAGCATGCTTGCGATGTTGTTTATGACGAGATCAGATAGTAGCGTTCCACCCTTCAGGCTGCCAGAGAACAGACCAGATAATGAAGTTCAATCGCCCAGGCTCCTACAAGACTGGAGTTCAATCCCAAGTTTCCTTTTGGGGGGTAACCAAGTTACCATCGAGTCAGTTTAGCAGTTCGAATGACCTGCAAATGGTAACTTGGTTACCCCCTCGAAAGGCTTACAAGTAGTGTTCGCATTCCTCCATATCGTCAAAAGATACCTCAATCTCCCTTCAGTAGAAGCCCTGCAGTTGAGAAAACACTGAACGTAGATACGGTAGAAATTGGTAGTTCAATTTCCATTTCATCAGATGCCATACCATGCTAATGAATAGAATGCTGGAGGCCCGGAAGAACCTGCTGGTGTAGAATCTTCTCTTCAAGATATAAAAGGCTTCAATCCTTTAGATAGAAAGGGCACACCAGAAAATGAAATGACAGTGTCAATGAATTCCAGTTGCTCCGACAAACCTTATCTCAGAGGTAAAGCAGATCATGGAAAATCCAAGGGTGGTTCTGATTATGCTCCTCTACCTCATCCCTTACCGAAAACATCATATGAGAGTCTTGGCTTTCGTCTGCAGTTGCATCAAGAAATTCATTTTGCAAGTCTCAGAATGGCACTCGTTTTAATCCTAAAAAACAGGAACCTAAGATACCTGCAACTGGTACCAAGTGGGAAACAATTGTCAAATCTTCTTGCATCATCATCATGTCCGCTATTCTAGGTAATGTTATCAATATTTATCATTCCTTTAACCCGTATATTGTGCTCACTGATGTGAGTTTCACTTTCATTTCGTAAATACTAACGCTAATGTCCTTAATAGGAACTAGTAACTCACCTTTCTCAGAAATACAAAAGTTTAAAAAATAAAAAAGTAAGAGGGGCGTCATTCAAATACTTGCACTCAGAGCTGGTTAAGGTATTGCAGCAGCCTGCCATTTTGTTTTCATCTTCCCTCCGCGAGATTTTTTACCTCAATTCATTAGCTCTTGTTGTGGTATAAGTTTGTAAGTGGTTCATTTCTTTACCTTAGATCAGCCATCGGTGCAGGCAGAGGAAATTTTACATCATAGTCGATTCAAATCATAATAACCATAAAAATTTTATCTCAAATAAAGAGGCTCTATACCATAAGGAAAGTACCATTTCTATATTCTTTTGATCTGCCATTTCAGTAGCTTCACTTTGTTACGAAGGAGTTCATTAGTATTTAATTCGTTCCCCTCCAAAGATCCCCCGTATTAGCCGAAGATGAACACAAAAAAGAGGCATAGATCCAATATGCTCTCACACAGGAGTTCATATTGATGCATGCATCAACATGACTCCAAATGCATGAATGGTATTTGATGAAAAATATACACAACACACTCATCAAACTGTCAATCACAAAGCTTTCTATTTCCTAAGGTTGAGTACCCTTATCTGATTCAACAACAAAGAATTCAAATGAAAAACAATTACACTTTCTATAAATCCAAAACACACACAAGTCAAGGACAAAAGTAGTTGGGAATATCTCGATTTCCTGTGGGTGGTTTTTGCTTGGTTAGACCCTTAATTAAACACTCCCTCGATCTTATCATAACATACTGATTATGTATGTAGATCAAGATATCTTCTTTGGACAAATTCTCCTATATCTTACGTCAAACTTAAGAAAGTGAAAGTTGGGTGTTGATTTCATGCATGCATTTACAATGGGTTTTCTTTTCATCATTAATTCCAATCCTTTGGCTTAATCTTAACTGTAGATCAGGTAACCATTCCCTATCTTTCATCACTTTATCTTGATTCATCTGCATTTTAAATAAAGATAAAAATAAATAATTCATTTATAAAATATCAGATTCTAAGATCGAATTTAAATATATAAAATAAAAAGTCATCAATGATTCTTACCTCCATCAAAAGTGAGGCGTCAAACTTGGATTTATAACCACCGACTTTGCTCAAGAAATCAAGCTTGTTGGAAAGGAATTGCCCAACAATGTTGTTGTCTCCTAGGTTGCCTTCATATGTGTCCTTGCTCATATTTCCATTAATTTCCAATCTATTACAGATCATATGGAAAGGATGCCACCTCTTCTCTCCAAGAACACGGCCTGGTCTCATGGGTCCCATTCGCATAAGCCCTTCATTGCTCAAGGCAGGCTTTGGGAAACCATTTTCTTCTCCACCACCTTTGCTTATCAAGGAATTTATTGGTAAGTGGTGCCTACTAAAAATAAGTGTCCTAATGAGCATATAAGCAATACGCATGGATTATAAGTTTTGATATATATATTAGTCTGAATCTAATCTATTCATTGTTACCTGGGTTTGAAATCTAGTGGCCGTTGGTAAAGAGGAGTTGGTGTGATGTTATTTTCAAGAGACTCAGCGGCTAAGACAATTCCACCATTTTCCATTCTGAAATGTTGATGAAGACTGGAGCCAACGACGGCGGCTTGCTGCAACAATATGCTCCGAAATTCTTCCCTTCCTTTTATTGATCGATTACTTTTGCTTAAAACTGCAAAAATATATTTGAAAAAATGAAAATTTCAAAGCCTCGTTACTTGAAATATATATTAAAAAGGAAAATTCTTCCCTTTGCTTTTCGTTTGATCGTGATTAGCATCGCTTAGGGGTGTCGGTACGGATTAATTTCGTGTGTGCATATTAAGTTAATTTATTTCCTTTTTGTCAGTGACGTTATTAATGATTTTTTTATTATTTATTTATGTTGCTCTAAGTAAATTACTTCCTTGATGCAGTTTCTAACAAATAAGAACATGCTTTTATCTTTATTATAATTGTATTTTAATTTTAAAAAATATGGGTTAAAATTCTTTGTAAAAGTAAAATTTTATCCTATATATGTCAAATAACAACTCACATATTATGATTTAAGATTTTAATTAATTCCTTTGTAAAAATATTTTAGTTATTTAATTTTATTATGGAGTAACTTTGTTATATAAATCATTTAATGAGTTGAATGAAAGAAGAATTCACCTTGTCCAGTCTCATCAAGCTTCTTACTTCTATACATCTGAAACAACAACAACAACAACAACAACAAAACCCAATTCCCATATGTATGGGGTAAGGGGGAGGTAGGGTAGTAGGCTACCCCCAACGCCAGGTTGAGAGTAGCTTCCGTGGAAGACCTCCGGCAGTCAGAAAATTAAAAATTTAGATAAAATGCAATGCATGTATAAATAAATACATAAATACATAGCTAAAACAGTATTCATATGCAGTCATTAAAATCATATGTGCGTCTGTAACGGGAAATTAATCCCTGCATAAATATCCCTGCGAAAGAATCTCTGCATATAGACAGAAACATAAGATCCGGCTAAATTTAAAAGAGGAAACATGAAGAGAATGATACACAGAAGTCAACGTTAGCAAGCCCAGTTCTAATCCTTCATAAATACCAATAACAGAAACGTATAAAAAGTATAAGTCATGGAAAATACTACAAAGACATTAAAAGAAGACAGAAATGATACACCCTATAGATGTGACCCACACTACTCGACTACCCTAGTCTTTAGCCTCCATATTTTCCTATCAGAGGTCATGTCTTCGGTAAGGGCTAAATCCCTCAAATCAGATCTCAAGCAGTCTTCCCACTTTCGCCTTGGTCGTCCTTTCCTTCTGGCACCGTCGACTGTAATCGACTCTACCCTCCTTACCGCATCCGACGGTAGTCGCCTAAGGACATGCCCAAACCACCGTAGTCTTCCCTCCCTCAATTTTTCGGAAACAGACACCACCCCCAAGGACATCCTAATAGCAGAGTTTGTCGTCATATCCCTCAGAGTCCTACCACATGTCCATCGAAGCATTCTCATTTCTGCGGCCTCAATCCTCCTTACGTGATCCTTCTTGGTTGCCCAACATTCTGATCCATACAACAGCGCTGGTCTTATTGCCATTCTATAAAATTTTCCCTTAAGTTTTAGAGGGACCTTCTTGTCACACAGAACTCCAGTAGCGGCCCTCCACTTTAGCCATCCCGCCTTTATACGGTGTGTAACGTCATCATCTACACCCCCATCTTTATGTATCATAGACCCTAGGTACTTGAAACAATCCTTTGAGGGGAGAACGTGTCCTTCTATGCATACTTCTACATCTTCATCGTTTTGGTTCCCATTGAAGTTTGAACATAAATACTCTGTCTTTTCAATATTGATCCTTAAACCTTTTTCTTCCAAAGCAGTCTTCCAGGTAGCCAGTCTACTATTCAACTCATATTTTGTTTCAGCAACTAAGACAATGTCGTCAGCGAAAAGCATACACCATGGTACACCGTCTGGTGTCGCACAATAGATGTCGTCCATAATCAAGGCGAAGATGTAAGGGCTAAGAGCCGACCCCTGGTGGAGTCCGATTTCAACCGGGAATGCCTCGGTGTCGCCAACTGTAGTCCTGACGTAAGTAGTAGATCTATAATACATATCACGAATCGCCCGGATATAAGCAGTTGGGATCCGTCTCGTTTCCAAAGTCTTCCAGATCGTATCGCGGGGAACACTATCATAAGCCTTCTCAAGGTCAATGAACGCCATGTGAAGATCTCTAGACTTTTCCCTATATTTCTCCATAAGCCGTCGAAGTAGATGAATCGCCTCCGTGGTAGACCTGCCTGGCATAAAGCCAAATTGGTTTTCCGAAACCCTAGTAACTTGTCTCAACCTAGCCTCTATCACCCTTTCCCATAGCTTCATGGTATGGCTGAGGAGTTTAATACCTCTGTAGTTACCACAACGTTGGGGATCTCCTTTATTTTTATAGATTGGTATCACCGTAGACTCTCTCCACTCCTCTGGCATCTTGGCAGTCTCTAAAATAATATTAAAGATGTTGGTCAACCACTTAACTCCCTCTTCTCCTAGGGCCAACCACACAGTGATAGGAATTTGATCAGGACCGACAGCTTTGTCCCTTCCCATCTTTCTAAGAGCCATTTTGACTTCCTCAAACCCAATCCTACTTGTAGGGCAGTCATTGGCCGTAGTATGATAGTCGGCTAAACCATCAACGATACTATCTCTACATGGAGAGGCACCGTCATTAAATAAGCCAAAGAAGTAACTACCCCAAACCCTCTTAATATCGTGATCTTTCGCTAAAAGAACACCATTGTTGTCCTTAATAAACCTAATGTTACCTAGATCCTTTTTCCTAATCTCCCTAGATTTTGCAAGTCTGAAGATGCCATTTTGTCCTTCCTTGGTGTCTAATCTCTTGTACATTTCCTCGTATGCCTTATCCTTTGCTTTAGCAAAGTGTTTTTTCTTCTGCTTTTGGCACCTGCAGATGACTTTTTACATGGGCAATGCTAAGTCCCTTCACATTCATCAATTGAAGAACTAACTTCGGAGTTGCTTCTGTTGGGGGGGGGGGGGAGTACTTGTTAAATCAAAGATGAAGAGAGTAAAAAAGAAGGGAAAATGAAGAAACAAAGCAATGTGAGAAAGAACTGACTGTCTTGTCCACCGAGCCTTTCAACAGCATGCACAAAGGAGAGATGCAGATCAGGAGTCCAGCGAAGCCGAGGCAGCTTTGACCTAACGTATTGCCTCACTCTTCTTCTATCATTAATGCCTCCATTGTTATTGCTGCAACTCCCATCACTTCTCTTCTCAATCTCATCCTCTTCAACACTAACTTCACTTTCCTTGCCAACATTCTCATCGTCATCCTCTTCAACACTAACTTCACTTTCCTTGCCAACATTCTCATCGTCATCCTCTTCGCTCACAGCTTCTTCATTTAAATCGAAGGTTATCCACTTCTGGGAACATACATCACCGTAAACCCTCTTTTCCTCTTCATGCATCTCCTTCGTGTCTTCTGTCATTGCTTTCTGTTTATTCTATACGTCCAATGACTTCAAATAAGTGAAAATAATTCAAGGCAATGTAATGCAGTAAGGTTTATATAATATCAAACTTGAAACCTAATTAAAGGTTCCATGTTCGTAGTTTTATTCACCTTAAATCAACGTTTACTTACCTTCTCACGTCCAAGTGCCTATTAGTATCCTATGTGTACAAGTCCAAATTTGGTGTTAAAAACACTATACTATGTAATCAAATGCATTAAGTAGCAATGCCCAACATTAGCAATATTGTTTTAAAAAAATTCAACTACAACCTTGGATATTATGATGTTAAAACGAACAGTGACGGATTCAGAAATATTTTTAAAGATAAATATATATATATATTAATATCATAAACAAATAAAACCTTTAAATGAACATCATTAATAAAATGAATAACTAACATAAAAAGTTTATATTTTAAAGTGGGTATATGTCCACTCCACCCTTAATAACCCTTGCTTCCGCTACTGACTGTGAGGACTCTTTTTTTTTCTTCTTCTAGGTGATGGGTTGAACTGCACACACTTATTAAGCATCTTCAACTATCAGCAACATTTATTGGGTGGAAACCATCGGCATAAACATCATCACCCACCTTTGTAAATGAAAGTAGTTTCGAATTTACGTGTTCTGGTTATGAAAGAATGTGGTGTTTTGTTCAGCTAAATTTAAGCCTAGACAAATACAACATTCGACCTGCTTCTCTTTCTGTAAAAACCATTAAATATGCCATGAAAAGAAGAATATGAGTTCATGTGTCAGACTTACATATTGATCTGAAGCTTAATCAAGAGAGACAATGAATCCAACCTATAATTTCTGCGAAAAAGGAGTTGACAAAGTGAATAAAAAAGATGATATAGTGCCAACCTATAATGTAACAACAAACTAAACATCGGAACAACTTGTGTGTAATAAATAAATATGCCATTTTGTAAGAAAAAAAGTACTGGGATTCAGTTTCTGATATCCCAAAAATTATAATGCCATCTCTATGTTTTTATTAAAAAAAATCAGAACTTATTTATTTCTATGCTAGGAATTCAGATGACATGATTATTTAACATAAGGATAAGAGACAGAAAATGGGAGAACTGTCATCTGTAAAACTCGCAGGTATTTATATTTTATGGTGATGAACTTGAGTACTTGAATTCATATATATATGAAAATAAATAAAGCGTGGAATCCAATGAAAAGCTATAGCTAACTTTAATTGAGACTCAAGTTGAGATTTATCATTTACCCGTCCTTCAGAAAATAATTTTAGGTGCAGATTGAGTGGGAAAAGAATCAGTATTATGATAAAAATAAAAGCTTGTTTCAGAAATGTTCGATTTCTGAAGAACAAATAAGCAGTTCATCTCTGAGACTATGATACTGTTAAAACATCATCACTCATCATTCCAGAAGATCCTTTCATAAAATATAGCTTCAAAAATTTAAAAGAGAGACCGTCAATCCCAAGACACAGAAAAGAACAACACAAGTTAACCTAAATGATTTTCAAGCAGAAAAATCAATTAACACGAAGATTTCATTTTTTTTCTGTTATTTTTTTCTTCTTCACAAATACAAACCATTGATGTAGAGGATTCCTGAAGCCAATATTTCTTCCAAGTTGTTGATCGTCACATAACCCTTCAACTTGAGAGAATTGTTAAGCAATACAGAGAGAGAGGGAGAGAGAAAGAAGGAAAGAAGCTTGAGGGCAAGGTTTTTACAACTTGGTCTGAGGATATATGTATTTGGGTATCATTGAACCGTGGGACTTATGTCATCAAATTATATAAGATCTTCATCTTCATGGTCTCGACCAAAAAGCACAGATCAACGACGTTTTGATACTCCACATGTTATCTTTATAATGCAAAACCACAGTCTTTTCATCACAGATGAACTGTTGCAGACATCATGTGACTATTCCGTCCTTTTTTTAAATTTCTTTTCCTTATTTCTATGAATTAAATATTGAATTCTCCTGTTTGACAGTTGGCTCCGTGTAAACAACAACTTATTAAAAACACTTTCTTTCTTTGGTGATTAAACTAATTGTTTGACCTTTGGTTAATAAGATATTAACTCTTCAGAGACACTATTTCTTCTCGTCATCAGTACATGATTAACCAAAAGGGTTACTTTTTACATAACAATTAAATATGATTTTTTTAAAGAAAGGATGGGACCTTTCTTCATCAACCCATCAATTTCTTCCAACCTAAACAAGACTTTTTTATTTTGCATTTTCAATTCTTCTTAAATCATAATAGCAGTACCCTTGTCTTGTCCCCATGTTCATATTGCTTTAGAGTCCACATCTTTAATTTTCAGCGCAAACATATGTTGTATGACTTTGAATATATATACTTACAGAAAAAATTAAAAAATTTACATTGATATATAACTATTGGATCAATAAAAACTCAATTGTTATAAATAAATTTGGTGCAAATTTATTTTTTAACTTATAATATCCTCCCATTTTAGCTCAATATATTGAGGTGTAAATTAAATTTCAATCATTATTTTTATTAATTTAATAATTATAAATAAAATTTATACTATATAGATACTTCAAATATGAGAAAATAGATTTGGTCCTTCTTCTAACACTAGAATTATTGTGGGGTCGAAAATGGCGAGCAAGAGCTCCAGAGTTTGTCAATTTTGGTGGGTCTAGCCTCTTGTATTCAAACAAGTAGCCATCAATCATTTTCCCCAAAAAAAAAATTTTCAATTCTTAAGCGGCAGAGCAATGGAGAAATTTAATTTAGAAAAAAGAATAATATGTGTTGTTTAATAAATTGAATGAGCTTTGATTGCAAACCTACATTTCAACATCTTCTTTCACCTCATTTGGGCAAGGGAGGAAAAAGAGTGGGTGAAATTAATGTGTTTGAATTCTTATAATACGTTACAAATTAAAATTAGGGTTAGGGCCTAGGGGATTAGGGCATGGTTTGGTCAAATTAAGTTTAGCTTTTAGCCATAGAAACGCTTCACCCATACACTTAAATGTCACAACAAAAAAGAGACTGCTGATATTTATTATTTCAAAAGGGGCTGAGCTGCAGACGGGGATTTGGACTCTTTTTGTTATCTTCTCTTAAAAAGAGGATTAGGTTTGGCTAATGACACCCAAATGTGGCTGCTTATGTGTGACATGTTCATTTATATTATATATATATATTTTTTGTTCCAAATTGAACACCAAAGTAAGATGCTTTTCGGACAAAACAACTCGGAACTCCTTGTTTGTTTCTTGTCTTCTCCTGTGCATGGGGAGTTGACATGCATTTCTTCTTTTGTTTGTTTAAAACCATGTGAATCTGGATCCTTTCATGGATGAAGATCACGTGGCATCAGTAGTATTCTGTCATCAAATGTGGATGTAAGATTTTATGTTAGGGGATAGACTTATAAAATATAAAGAAAAAACTATGTTATTAATAATATATATATATATATATATATAATCTAAAACATACGAGAATATGAAATTTTCGATAATTGACCACCCCAATCACTATTTGTCATGGATCTTAGAAGAGGATATTTTTTTCTCCTTTTTCAAGTGTGAAGAAAGATTCAAGCTGATAAATCTATAAATGAACTTTAATAACCCAATAATCTATTCCTTTTATCCTGTTTGATTGTTTCTTATAAATAGTTATCATTGTTTTCTTCCTTTTAGGGTTTCCATGTGAAGCACATGAACCGGCTCACCAGATTGCAATCTGCTTTCCAAAACATAAAGTTAATTAATCAAGAATTACGGTTCATAAAAGAGAATCATGTACATCAAAACCATTTTGCATGTTTTCTGTCCTCGTTTGATCAATCAAACCATGAAGAAAAAAAAACAGAAGCAGTAAAGAGCGGTTCAATAAAGAGCCCAATATCAGAGCAGTTGTGTAGGAAACAATCATTAGCCCATCTTGATGAAATGATTAATATTAGATCGGTCGTATTCATGTGAGTAGTTGCAACAAATCAGTCTTGATTAGCTCAAATTGAAAACATTCACTTCTTTTACATAATATCTGAATGAAACTACCTATCTACTACTTAATAAAGTGTATAGTGGCAAAAGTTCAACCTTTTTAAATGCCCTTTGAGTAATTAGCTATTTTAAACGGCGATAGAGCAGTTGATGCTAAAACAAGCATGGAGGGAGAACCAGAAGGGAAATAGATATAGATTTAAACAAGTAATAAGCAACTAATCGACAGTAGATGCAGGCAATTAGTTTAACAGTATAATTTGTCAAATTTGAAGTTGTTTAAGATCGAACCTAAATGTACTCTCAGCTATATATGAGGGCCCTAAAATTAATTGCAGGCTGATGAACATCAATATTTCTCTGCCTGCATCTTTTGATGGAATTAAAATGGTAGTAGCTAGCTTCAACTTTAATTGATTTACATGTCCATCAACACAATTTATCTTCTTGTTTTTCCTCAATTAATTCTGGTGAAAAAGCTCCTCACATGAAACCCTTCAGAGGGAAACAACAGTTGTTGGTTACTATACAATAAGGTGGGGAGACCTTTTCATGTTTACACTTTAGTTGAAAATGGAGCCCCTTTTTCTTTTACTATTTGATGCTGCTGATTTATCATGCCAGATTTCCACCTTTTGAAGAAATTAAAGTGCACTAGTAATAGACAATTCCTGGCATTTTTAGTTGGGTTGATTTCATCATGTGCCTAGCTGGACCAATGCAAAATATACATGCATCCATTTACTGAATTGCAAATGTTTGCACATGGGGCAAGTTAAACAGAGATTAAAGGTGGGGAAGTAAGAATATATATGAAATTCCCTCTGCTACAATAATAAATATTCTTTGTGGTAACTACCAGAAAAAATGTTGGAAAAAGGATATTATTCTGGGGAATTGAATGATATAGAAGTTGGATCAGAAGCACTGAAGAAGGTATGTACAGAAGAAAACACATTACTAGAGTTTAGAAAATGTCTTCCCAATTTAAAAAAAAATAGCAAATGTTTTTTAAGTAAGATTACATGCATACATGCATACATGCATACATGCATACATGCATACATGCATACATGCATTAATTTACAACTAGTTTTGGCATTGATTTTCGATTTCAATTTCATGGTCTTTAAATTACTTTTTAGTTGCTTAGAAATGTCCTCCAAAAAAACTTGATAAAAAAATACTCAAAATTTACCATTTTTAACTTTAGGTGTTTAAAAAAATTTCATTCAAAATAAGTGTTTAACGGTTTTGATATTACTTTTTAAAGTATCTATGCCACATCGTCTGCTAAAAGCCCGTTATCTGACACGTATCTTGTTTATATGTTTTTGAAAATTTTGTTTTTAAGCCCCTGAATAAACAATGTCCTGGTTGATCATTGGTGACTAGCACCAGTATATTTCTGCAAAAATAAATTCATTGTTTGTAATAATGTGGTGCATGGAATTTGGTGCACAAACCCAGGGGATAGGGGCCACGTATAGTATGACTCGTAACTACACAACTATATGCAACTCTGAAATTATTAGAGCCCACCAATCTGCTGTTCATGTTGCTCACTGTCTCTGATAGCATTAACAGTTGCAACAATACAGGTAGGTTTAACTCTGCAGCACTACATGAAGTTTCAACCTTTTACCTGTTTTAAGAGCCTAATTCTTTTCCCATTTCATCAAACTCATCGTCTTCAACCGCATGCCTGACAACTATAGCAGACTGTAACTATAAGAGAAAAAGTAAAAATACAGATGGATTTAGAGTTTAGGATTTGAGTTTTCAATGATTGGCCACACGTCTTTTCAATGTAAAAAATGGCTAATAGAACATGTTGGTTTCTCCACGTTTATCTTGTGGTTCGGCTTCAGACTCATCCAACGGACAGAAGACTATCATGATGAGTATTTGATTGGGAAAATAAATGAGTCATCTAACTTCAACCGAGTGTGTGAAAATCGGGAACCAACTTGTGGATGCATTAAATGAGGACGTGAGACGGTTCATAAGGGAACTGCCAACCATTACAGCGCTTGTGGCCGAACTACGGCTGTAAAAACGAGACAGTTGAATTTTAGTATCGTTAAGTTCAATTTGATTTAAAAAAATTAAAGATCAATTTGATTCAAACTCGAAATCAAAATTGAATTTTTGACTAGATTTAAAAGTTTACGAACTTAAAATTATTAAGTTTAATTTAAACTTAAAATAAAAAATCAAAATTAAATCGATAACAAAAAAACTTAAACGCGAAATATTCTTAAAAAAGAAAAAAAAAATTGCAATGTAAAGATAGAATCCTATGCGTTGTTTAGCAATAAATGATGGACCAACAACTACGAATCAGAACATGTTCTTCTCTCGACATTTATCTAAAAGGTGGTCTCTATAGATTCAATGGAGAACTAGAAGTTTTCGACTTCAAAATTCTAGGTGTATGTATATAAATACAGTGGTTGAAAAATTATGTTGATCCTTCGATCTTTGAGTTGACAGCGCGACAAAACTCATGTAAAAACAAATGTATATATAAAACCAGAAACCTAATCAACCAGAAGGATAATGTTAAAAATGTTACAGCATCGTTCTTTGAAATTTTAGTGGCAGAAGGCTTCAGTTTTGTCAAGTGTATACATTTTTAATTCATACAGATATAAACTTTTTGTACTTTTAGCCAACTGATCTCGTAGGTATAAAAATTTAATGTTAAATTACATAATAGATTAATTTCGTTTAAGTTTTATATATTATTTTTTATTAAATTTTAAAAACATAATATTCAATTATTTTTATTTTTATTTAATTAAGATATAGTCACTTAGAATGAATTGTCCCTTTAATAGATTGCTTTTGAGGCAATGAATTTATAAA